CCCCCCCCCGTTCCCACTCACTGGCATTGGTGTTGGGCTTGATGCCTCCTTGAGCCTTCATCTTGATCTCCCTCTCTCTGATCTCATCGTAGATGGTGGACAGGTAGTCAGGGGGCAGATCCTTGCTGTCGTTGATGCCACGGTTCATACGAATGTATTGCTCCTTGGTCATTTTTGATGTAACTTTCACCTGACAGGCAATGAGAAATCCACAAAATTCATTACAATTTACAACACATTTCCATTTCTCAGGCTTTGACAACAATGTGTAAAGCATATAAGAATTTTTTGGTTTTATTTTGTTCTTGTAAGAGTTTTACAGTGCTTGCAACACAACTTGGTCATTCAGTCGGAGAGAAAAAGTGGTACAAGAGAGCAAAAAATACTCCCCAAAAAAGAGAAGAGTTAATGATTACAGATGTTTGACAGAATAAAAAAGTAATAACCCACACCAGGGCATCCATAAACCAGCCACAATTTTTTTTCTTCTCAAAAGAGTATGTCATATCGGAAGAATGAAGGAAGTCGCATGCTGAACTTAAGGATAACACTATATAACAACAGCCAAAGGGGGACAAGAGGGTGCGAAGAACAGTTTCAGCCTTCGGAGTATTTTTAACGACAAGACAAAGAAAAAAGAAAAGTTGGAAGTTTAGAGGTTTTACGGCGCTCACAACTGCATACGGTCATATGAGCACCAGATGATTAGAGGTGTTACAAGAGAGTAACAAACATAAAAAAGAAGAAGGGGAGATAAGGACAATAGATGTTTGATAGGAAAAGAGGAGCAAACCACACCAGAGCACCCACTAACCACCCACCTGCGGGCTGTGAAGGTCTGTGGTGAGCATGATGATGGAGAAGGCCAACACGTAGGCCGTGTCGGCGCTGGCAAAGATCTCCAGCCTGAGGGCAGAATGAAAATGGAACATATGACAGTCTTGGAGGTGCATCAATATTTGCTTTTTGTTGAGGCATGGGTTTAAAAATATTGAAATATTTACAACTTTTTCATTCCAAGCGGGG